AATTTATTTTTAAAATATGAATACATTTTAATTTTGTCATTTGCGGAGGTTAATTGCAAGAGAACATTTAGTAAATTAAAAAATAGGCAGAGCTAATATAGACCAAGAAATTAGACGCGTTTTCAATTATGTCAGTTGAACGAGAAGTATTAACGCAGACTAGAAGATATTCTTGTATGATGATATTAAAAATGCGGCAAGTAAAATGCAGATAAAATGTGGAATGTATAAAAACTATCTGAGCATATTCCGCAATTATGTATCTGCCATGTTAGATCCGAAAACTAAGATGAAATATATGCCTCATTTTGTAGCAAGGCAGGATTATAATGAAAAATTCAATTTATTATATAAAACCTACGGGTGGCCACACAAAGCAAATGTGTATGACTTCTCTCTAGATGATTTGGAAACACAGCCTTATTCGGTCTGTATGCATCACGAATTGAGAAAGTAATTATAAATATTTAGTTATTAATTTATAATTTTAGAGAAGTTTGTGAATTTCCAGATCTCACAAGAGATGAAATTATAGAATATGTCAAAGAACCGGTTGCACCAGCGTCAACTAATATACTTGATTGGTGGGCGAAAACAGCGATTTTTACCCAACCTGATAGCTATTACCTTGCTCAACAAACGTCCAGCGTTCCAAGCGAAAGAGCATTCAGCAAAGCCGTTGATTTTTTGACCAAAAAGCGAAACAGGATGTCACCGACAACACTTAAACATTGTATGTGTTTAAATAATTGGGATGTTTCAATATGAAATCATTATATATATACATTTGTATCTTATTGATTCTATTATAAATCTTGTTATTTGTATTATATATCAATAAATATTTAAAATATAAATAAATATTGTGTAATTTATATATTATTTTGAAGATATTTAGTAATAATTTATTTAATATAAGATTATAAGCCTCTTTTTATTAGATTTTATCTAAGGTTTCACAAATTTAAAATCAAAGATCAAAAACATTTTAATTTATGTTAATAAATAATTTTTATGTAAAGTTAAAATGAAGTTTAACAGTGAATGTATTTTAAAATTACCTCAGCTTAAAAAATTCTCAAATATCAAAAATTATGTCTCGCGTAATTTTTACGAGAATATTAAATATAGAATTATCAATCACATAAATAAGACATTTGAATAACTAAAAAATCTACGCGAATGAATTTTTTATTAATAATTAAATTTTTATAAATAAAACAATAAAATATGTTACTTTTTTTTATTATAACTAAATAAAAATATCAAATAAAAAGTACAAATCTTATTTATTTTAAAAGTACCATAAAAACAAATAATATATTATTAAAAAGTAGTGCTGTGAAGTAACGTCAAAAAAGTAACGTCGTTACTAACGACGTTACTTTTTGAAGAATAGGAACGCCATTCGTTACCTTCATCTAAAGGTAACGAGTAACGGTAACGCGTTTCTTTTTTTGAGTAACGGTAATGCAAAACGTTACTTTTATTTATTTTTTAAATCTTAATATTAATAATTTAAGCCGACTTATAATTCATATCAACTACTTCACATTTTTTTTTAAATTCTCGTTGTTAAATTATCAGTCGAAATTAATATTCAATCAAAATTCAAAGTAAATATAATGATATTATTAATTAATTTATAATTTATTTTAAAAGAATATTATGTCCATAATACTTACTTCTCAGATGAAGAAGATTTAACCCTTCCCTGGCCTCAATTTGAATTATATTTTAAACCAATTAAGAAAATTAATGGCACCAAGTCTACACTTTGTAAATATAAATTATGTCCTAACGCAAATATTTTAACGTCAATGTCAAGTACAAACTTAAAAAAACATTTGCAGGTATAGAATGAAATATATAATTATTTTAAACATATAAAAACTTAATCATGAAATGATTTTAAAAAAATTTATTTAAATTTCATTATAGATTTTATTATTAAAATACTATATATATAGCATCTTATTATTTAACCATGTATTTATTTTAATGATAGTACACAATAAAACAAATTTGAAATGTATAAATTTTATACAGATTATTATATTAAAAATTTATTATACATAAATATTTTTTAAAAAATAAGATTACAATAAAATTTAAGTATTCTTGTTACTCTTAATGGTATTTAAAAAAATATATATAATTTAACAATTATATTTATAACTAATATAAATGAGTATATTATCAAAATATAAATAACTTTTTTTGCAAATGCAATACCTTTATAAAAAACATATAAATATTATGACTAAGAATTTATTATAATTAAGTTTTGCATATAAAAATTTTAATACTAAAAGAACATATTATAATCATATTGTAATTTTATTATAATGCTAGAAATTATTTAAAAGCCCTCAAGTAAAAAAAATTATATAATATATTTATTAAAAATTTATTAGAGTATATGAACAAGGAGAGGAATCGGATGATGAAATAGTTCTACTGCCTTTATTTGATCTATTTGAAGATCAAAATATTATTGATAGTATTGTATACTTACCTAAGCATCCTTCCTGTTCAGCACACACTTTAAATCTTATGTATTGACACTGAAAAGGCACTCAACGATGTCCATGCTTTTGTGGAATAAACATGAGCAATCTTCTAACTGTGCAGCCATTTTTAAGGAGAATATGGGAAGATATTTGATTAAACCTGTTATAACTAGGTGGAATTCTTTTTATAACTCTGTAAATTTAATAAATAGTCTTATTAAGGTGAATTATCAAAAATTTGATGAATCTTGCGACAAATCTGGATTACAGAGATTTTTAGATAACAACAAGTCGTTCATAGATAAATATTGTATAGTTAGTGTTAACTAAAATATGATATGTATATATATGATTTTATAGGTCATGGACCCGATAGCTACGGCTCTTTCAATTTTAGAGAGCGAAGAAAATAAGCATTTGGGATATCTCACTCCCATTATAACCATTATAATATCAAAACTTAAAAAATTGGCTTAATTTTAAGTTTTGTAAGCCGCTTATTGATTCAATCCTGGAAGCCATAGATATTGCTTATAATTTATATTTTGACTATCATATTTTCAATAGATTCAAACATATCTATGATGATGATTATATACTATCGGGAATAATTCACTCACTATTTAAATTGGATTGGCCCTGGATAAAATTAGAGGTCAATAAAGGAAGAATGCTGGAACTTATTTCCTATTTGAGAAAAGATATTGATAAAGAAAGAACAGGATTGATTTCTTTATACAACAACACACTAGAATATTTTCAGATAATGATAAAAAAAAATTTTGATGAGGAAATGAATGAAGATCTCTGTGAAGATGATCTTTCAAGCTTTTTTCAAATTAAAGATATTTCCTTAAATATTTTTAATAAATTCCCCGAATTGAAATTTTTGTTTATTAAATATAACACCATACTCCCATCCTCTGCGCCAATTGAACGTGTGTTTAGCACGGCGAAAGTTGTGTTGAGTACTAAGAGCTCATGTTTATCTGAACAAAATTTTGAAAATCAATTGTTGTTAAAAATAAATAAAAAATTGTTACATAAAAATGTTATCTTATAATATATTATTTTTATATAATTTTATTCATATTATAATTATATATGAAAATTTTATTATAAAAAGATCTTATCTTATATGTTCTTTTTGTATAGTTTTATTTTATTATATATTGTAGGAAAAAAATAAATATTTTTTTGCATTATATATAACATTTAATTTTTTTAAGTAAAGAGCAGCCCGTTACTTTTTTGAAAAGTCGGTAACGCGCGTTCCTTTTGTAAAATAGTAACGAGTAACGGTAACGCTTTCCATTTTTCAGATGTAACGAGTAACGGTAACGCGTTTCTTTTTTGTAGTAACGTTTACAACACTATTAAAAAGAGGAAAAAGGGAGTGTTTCGAAGAAACAAAAAATAAATTCAAATTATATTAATTATTGAAAAATAATTTTCAGGCCTGGATAGGAATATAAAATTAGTGAGTCAGCTAAATTATTTTCGTGGGATAAAAAATTATCCCGATAAAAAAAGGTCTAAAATAAAACCAATGTTTGTCTTGACATAATAGAGCTATGGTTCTTCTAAAAAAAAGTCGGCAATATACATTACAGTATGAATAGGTTTTAAGTAGTAACACTCCTCCCCCCCTTCGCGATTTTTATAATAAACATCTTGTTGGTATAAAGTGTATCGCTATATTATATTAAATTGTTATAATGTTTGTTCACAATTCTGATAAAAGCTTTAAAAAAATATATTTCAAATTCTAGACTAAATTTTAATCACGATCTTCCCCATTCCCAATAATTTATTCGTTCTCTAGTCGACATAAGTATATAACTCGTGTTCACGACTCAAGTTGGAAGTCTAAAGTAAAAAATAAAAAAAACAACAAATGTTTTATTAATTAATAATAAAATTTCAAATCTTCGTCCTCTAGTCGACTCATGTATATTATATTTCGTATAACGACTCAAGTTGGAAGTCTAAAGTTAAAAATAAAAAAACAAATGTTTTATTAATAATAACTAATTTAAAATCTTCGTCCTTTAATATTCAAGTTCATAGAACTATTCGTCCTCTAGTCGACTCCAGTTTTCGGCTATCGGCTATACTTCGTGGATTAACAACACTACATGCTATTAAGACATACAAAAAAAGTAGATGGTACTTTCCATAATTTTTTCCTAGCGTGATGGGTTTTTTGAGAGAACCAAGCTTAGCTCTGTTGAAATCGCAACTTATATAACCATTTAACATCATAACAAAATTTTTAACGCAATTTTTTATGGGCTGACCCTAAGACGCGATAAAATAACAAATAAAGATGGGCTGACCCTAAGACGCAATAAAATGACAAATATCTCACATGACAGTTTCCATTGAAGATTTTAAAAACGTGAATTTTTTTACTTTACCTCTCATCTTCTCTCAAAACAAATTTAATTTAAAAAAATATTATATAAAAGAAAGAAAATAGAATACCTGTTGATCCAATCAAGCTTTTATTTCGGGGATACAATTTTAAATATTTGTCGTCAGCAATATCTGACAAATTTTTGAAAATGTTATCACATAATTTTTGATTCGAAATGTGGTTGTATTGCCCTTGTTTGTAAGCTTCTTTAATTTTCTGTCTTATGTAAGCACCCAAATCTCGATTAGTTTCTGATTTAGAGATATCTAAGGGCCATTTTTGCATCAACTTACTAAAATCTCGATATCTGTAAGACATATAGTTCCTATAAAAGAATTAAAATTAATTCACTTTTAAATCTAAATTTATCCAAAAAAAAAATTATAGAATATATTATTTTCTATTTTTATAAAAATCAGAGCTATTAAAAAAATCTTTAATGATTTTGGCTTTGAGCAAAAAAATATTTTAAGATCACAAAATTGAAGATTTATTTAAAGATCAAAATGTTTTTAAAATCACGAATTAGGTAAAATATCAAAAATTGTTGATGAATTTTTAAAATTTTTTCATTTTGAATAGCATTTCAAATTCTGGGTAAAATTAATAAATTTTAATAATCTTGATTTATGAATTTGATTTTATGGACATTAATATAATTTTCTTTTATAAATAAATTTAGTGGTGATGAGGCTCGGAATAAAAATTTTGATTATTTATTATATAAATTAGAATTTTATGTATTAACATATAGAAAATAAACGTAACTGAGTTTTGTACCAGTTTTAAGGATAATTGACAAAAGTTAGGATGTAATTCTAGTTAAATTTGAGACTTTTATAGTAATTTTCAGGCGCGTACGCAGCTGGGGAGGGGGACAAATCCCCCCCCCCAACCAAAAAATGCAGATGCCGGATTATATTTTTCAAAAATATTATTGTTAATATTAATTTATATATTTGTTAATATTTATTCCTATCTCATATATATATATTAAATTACATTTATTTTTCACATTCATCTACTTTATTTTACCAATTAATTTCGATTTTAAGATTTCCTTGGCGTAATATTATCTATTATTTTCAAATTTTAGTGGCGTAATTTTTATCTAAATTTCTAGTCAAATAATAATTATCCCTGAAACTCTTTGTCCAACAGGGAGAAAGAAATTGCAAGCTTGTCCAACGAGATCTAGTCTCCGCCATCAAGCAGTAACAGCTTTTATGGAGTTAGAAGAGCCGATTATTAATGCTATTACTAAAATATCACAATGTCTTGAAAGAAATATTTCCTCAGAAGCAAGAAAATTATTGGATTCAATATTTATTCCAAATTTTTTTTCTCATTAGAATGCAGTGGCGTAGTTACGGGGGTGGTTTTAGGGTTTGGACCCCTCCCAGAGCAAATTTTTTTTAGATTATAGGTTCAAAAGACTTAAAAGTGACTTTGTATCAAATAAATACCATTAATATTTATATTTTTCTGGTTTTGATGTTTGTGAAAGGATATTATATTACTATTGAATTTATTCTGGGTAGTATTATTATAAAGTCATTGAGAATAATCTACTAAATTATAATAACATTATTCATGCATTTAAAAATATTTTTATATATTGTCGAAGATGTGGTTATGATTTTTAAGTCTGTTTTATTATTTGTCAAATCATAGGATTAAAAATAAATTTGTAATTTTGATGAATCATCGCTATATAAATTAATATTGTATTTGGATGAGTCATCATTGTTTTAGAAATTAATTTATTTTATTTTATTATTAATAAATATATATTTATTTTTGTGAATCTATAAAAGACAAAAAAAAGGGAAAATTATCATAATTGGAATTTATTTTTATATATTTTTGGAATTTTATATTTGGAATTTTGGATTGTAAATTATATTTTTTTTTGACGCGTCTTTAAAAGTGGAAATAAATTAAATATATTTTAATTGAAGAATAATAAAGAGTTACCGCATTAAAGAATCTAATTTATTGGGATATAAAATATTTGGGTGTATAAACATAAAAATAAATTTGTAATTTGATGAATCATCGCTATATAAATTAATATTGTATTTGGATGAGTCATCATTGTTTTAGAAATTATTTTATTTTATTATTAATAAATATATATTTATTTTTGTGAATCTATAAAAGACAAAAAAAAAGGGAAAATTATCATAATTGGAATTTATTTTTATATTTTTTTTGGAATTTTATATTTGGAATTTTGGATTGTAAATTATATTTTTTTTTAACGCGTCTTTAAAAGTGGAAATAAGCGGTAACTCTTTATTATTCTTCAATTAAAATATATTTAATTTATTTCCACTTTTAAAGACGCGTCAAAAAAAAATATAATTTACAATCCAAGATTCCAAATATAAAATTCCAAAAAAAATATAAAAATAAATTCCAATTATGATAATTTTCCCTTTTTTTTTTGTCTTTTATAGATTCACAAAAATAAATATATATTTAAATAAAATAAAATAAATTAATTTCTAAAACAATGATGACTCATCCAAATACAATATTAATTTATATAGCGATGATTCATCAAAATTACAAATTTATTTTTAATCCTATGATTTGACAAATAATAAAACAGAATAATTTGATCATTATTAAAAATCTTACCCTTCTTGACACGCCCCCTTTTATAATGAGCCCAAGTCCCTCTCATCGCTCTCTCCTAGAATCCCCTCCAGTTCCTTATCCGTTATGAGGAAATTCAATATATCACCCACCTCTCTGCTGAATATTCCATCCAGGTCCCGGTCTACTCCCTGCGCCTCTTCCGTCCTTGAGTTTATAGGATAGGCATCCACCAACTGATTTCCCCCCGAGGTTTCTTCCGAAATGTCCACACGGGCCATTGCATCTCGCCCAGAGATAGCGGAATTGGGTCTGCTAGCTCTCCCTCCGTTTGTCGTAGGATATCTGCCCTCTGGCCCACAATCTCGGCTACCGGTCGCATCTCCGCCGCGGCTACCAATCTGATAGGAGATGATACCCGGTACTCCGTTTCTTCATTTCCGTTTCGACTATCCAGTGGGCACCTACTCCGTACATGGCCCCTTTGTTGACATCTGAAGCATCTCCGTGGATCCTCCAATGGCTGTACCCGGGAAGATGTTCTTCTTGCCGTCCTGGGTTCAAAATTAGTTCGAGGCCGAATTATTAGCTGGATCACTGTATCCCCAATATACCATATTTTATTTATCGCCATTTTTAAGAATTCGGATATTTGTATCAGTTTTTCTCCACCAATAAAATTTCCAGTAATTACGAGATAAATTACGAAAATAAAAAGAAATATTATTTTATTTTCTTTCAAACTAATTCTAAAGTGAATACTCGCAAACAAATATTTTTTTAATTACTTCTCCCATATATACCCACGATTATTAAGTCATTCCCCCTTTTTTTAAACTTGGCACTGACATTCCCGAATTTCGAACATTTTTCCCAAATCTTTGACACATTCTAAATAAATTTATGATCTTGGCCTTCACCATCATTCTTTTTTTTCTTTACTTGGCAATGACATTTTCAAATCTCAAACATTTTCCTCCAATCTTTAACACATTACCGATAATTTAATAATTTATGATCTCGGCCTATAATTACTTCATAACAAAAATTCTTTTTAATTGATCGATTTTGCCAACTATTCCGTTGTCTTTAATTTTTAAATCTTTCATTCCTTTCTAAAAGGGGGCGTGTCAAGAAGGGTAAGATTTTTATTAATGATCATTCTGTTTTATTATTTGTCAAATCATAGGATTAAAAATAAATTTGTAATTTTGATGAATCATCGCTATATAAATTAATATTGTATTTGGATGAGTCATCATTGTTTTAGAAATAAATTTATTTTATTTTATTATTAATAAATATATATTTATTTTTGTGAATCTATAAAAGATAAAAAATAAAGGGAAAATTATCATAATTGGAATTTATTTTTATATTTTTTTTGGAATTTTGGATTGTAAATTATATTTTTTTTTGACGCGTCTTTAAAAGTGGAAATAAATTAAATATATTTTAATTGAAGAATAATAAAGAGTTACCGCATTAAAGAATCTAATTTATTGGGATATAAAATATTTGGGTGTATAAACATAAAAGTTCCTAGCTACGCCACTGTTAGAATGTATTATTTAATTATACAACTATTTTATATAATACTTTTCAAAAACATGATATTGACTTAATTAAGAAGATGAGAATAGCGCAGAGCTTTTTATTAGAACTCAAGGAAATTAGAGCTAATGTTGATTCATATTTTATATGTTATTGTTGAGTCAAGAGCAGAGCTATACGTGTTTAATATTTGTCCCCTCGACTTGCAGCAAGCAAGCTCATCGTCAAAACATTAATATAGGATCAGTAGAAGAGTATTATAAAACAAATGTCCCCTCTCTTAGATACATTTATAACCCAAATAAATGAATGGTTTTTAATTCATCATGCAGCACTTACCAATATGCAAATATTACTTCCTCAAAAGCCTTCCCAACCTTTTCCCATGGTGATAGAAAAAAAAAATATTTGTTAAATTATCATGAAGATGATAAAGTATCTTATGATGCCTTATTAGCTGAATAACTATGGTTGATACAGTCCCAAAAAATGCTTTGCATTATTTCAAACACATTTTAGATAATATTCCCAATATATTAAAATGGTTATATATATATTAACAAGAATAACAAAGCCCTGTAGAGGTACCAGTTGCAGGGCACGGCCCAGATATTTTTTTCACATTTTTTTGGCCCGGCTAGGTTTTTTTTTTTAAATTTCAGGCCCGGTCCGGCTTTTTTGAAAATAAAATTTTCAGGCCAGCCCGAATTTTTTAAAAATAAATTTTATTTATTTTTGATTTTTATAGCTAATAATGGCGATTTCAAATATTTGGTTTTAAAATATACAGCCCGGCCCGGATATTTTTTTCAAAAAAATTTTCAGGCCCAGCCCGGGTGTTTTTTTTTAAAAAAATATTCGGGTCCGGCCCGGATATATTTTTAAAAATTAACGGTCCGGCCTGGGGGCTGAGCCTGCAAGTCTTTGAAAAACATACCTATGAAGTACAACTTCTGAAAGTAGATTGTATGGTTTGGATCTTTTGAATATTCATAGGCATTTAACGCCAAGCATGGGTGAGATAATTGAAAAATTAGCTCAAAACATACAAAATACAATTATTCCTAAGAAACATTTTGCGTGTTAATTTATATTTCCAACATTTAAATTTTTTATACTTTATATATAAATTTTAAAGGCTAAAAATATTCAAATTTCAATTTTAGGTCATTTAAGTGATTCATAAGGTCCTTATATTTTATAATTCACATTTATTTTATAGCTTTTAATGCCGGTTTATATATATAATTTTTTTATAATTCACATTAATTTAAAATTGAGTACTAGAAAAGTTATTAGTCCTAATAAATTTAGGCTTAATATTTTTAAATAACTATAATATTTCATAAAAAATTTTATTATCCCCCCCCATACCAAATTCCTGGTAGGCGCCTGGTAATTTTTTTTTAATATATTAACCGTCAGTATTAAGTCTACATCTATATACATAGTCAGTATGGAACGTCATATTTACTAAAAGAGAAGCAATTTGATTTTTTTTATTAGTCAAATCATTTAATTTTTAAAAATAACTTATTTTTAAATTAAAAATAGGACCTAATATTCTGACTTGTTCTATTTCTATGGAAAGATTTATAATAAGAAGATTCCCATTATGCATTTGCAGTTTTCGAAGTTAATTTCTCATCTCTTGAGTACAACTTTTAATAATGTTTTTAATTTCGTAAAAAATTTAAAATGTGTTTCATTTAATCCAAAAAAATATTTGAAATTTTGAGTTAAAATTCATATTATGCTGACCTTAAGATATAATGGTGGCTCCAATTTTTATGTACAAAAAAAAATATTTCTAGCTTTTTTATAACCAATGATCAATTTATCACTTGTACTATATGGTACTTTAACCATTACTACACATTAGAGGTTTGCAATAGGAGGTTTAGCCTGTTCTTCCATTTTCTGGGTGGGCTTTTTACAAGTTTTTAAACATTAGGCGGGTAACAGGCAGGCTAAAAAATATTTTTAAAATAATGGAAAGGTTAGTTAATATTTTCAGGTGAAGCATAACAGACCACTATTTATTAAAAATTATTATTTTTATTATACAATATTGCATTTCTATAAGTTGAATTTAAAATAAAGCAGCCATTAAAATTTTTTTTATAAACATTGGGATGATTAAACAAAATTTTTTGATAAATGGGTGTACGGGTGTATAAATTAAAAAAAACCATAGGTGAATGGGTGAGTGGATTAAATCTTTTTTAAAATATTGGCTTAATATTTTTCTGGATAAAATACTGAATTCGTTTTTAAAAATCCAAATGGAGCGATTTTGCATCATTAAATGAATTTATTAAATAAACCGTTTTTCAGGTCACAAATTATCTTTAACTTTATGGAGTCTCAGCAGAAGATCCAAACTAAAGTTACTTTGTTTCATGATTTAAATTTTGTATGAGATAATGAATAAGAATGAATAAGTTTATATTATTTCAAGAGAATATTTGCTCATGTGGAAGATCATACCTGCTATAAATTCCTATAATTTTTTAGCATTGGACTAATAAACTACCAATTTTTTTCATTTAATTTGCAAATGCAATTAAAAAAAATAATTATGAAGGAATTTTATCTACAGATGAGTGATGAATAAAATCTGCTAAATTGAGGCATGAGCAGGGTCATCATGTCTCCCCCTATCAGCGGGAGGCTTTAGTTTACAAGCAGACCACAAATTTTAAATGTCTCCCGCACAAATTTTTTTCTTCCCAATTTAACGTTTTTCATATATAAATAATAATTATGAGAAACAGTAGTTGATTATTTTTATATTTTTAAAATAAATTTTAAATATTTATTCAATACACTTGTCTAGTTTTTTAATTTTCTTTCTATCCTTATCTTAATCATATGTTTTATTTTGATCCAATAATAACATCATTCATTCATATTTTATCATTTTCATAATGTGTATAATATTATAGGACCAGACACTTAATTATCACGTATCCCAGTTAAATATAAAATTAAGGTAATATTGTACTTATTTCATTGATAATTATTTTATTTATTATAGTTCGATCACATTATTATTATAATCAGTGCAGGGGAGTGTATATGCACATATTGCAATACAAAATTATGCTCTAAAAATAAAAAATAATACAGATGCAACTACAGTTGTGTAAATGGTATTCACTTATCATGATGTTCAACATTCACAGAGTTACTTATCATCTCAATATGAGTCGAATCTGTTCCCCGTAATATTTAACGACTCCAAGATAAATGAAAACTTTACTTGTGGTAAAACAAAAACGAACAAGGCTATCACCAATGTAGGACCTGAATCCAGGAGGTCAATTTTTGACGATTTGAAAGGTGGACATCCATATGCAATTCTAACAGATGCATCTAATATGGGAAATATTAAAACATTTCCCTTGATCCTCTGTTATTTTAACAAAAATAAGGACGTTTTGATAAAACTATATTTTTTCACTCAAATAGAGAAAAATCCAAAGACATAGCTAACCTTATAATGGTAAATATAGCAGATTTGCAGTTATCAATGAGTTGCAAGCCAGCTTTCTGTGGAATTTTGACAAAACCCAGAGTATATTTACAGTATTGAGGTGGAACAATGTTGATTTAACACTAATTGGCTGTATATTCCATATACTATATAATTTTTGCAACAAGACAATAAATGTATTATCTGTGGATGTCGAAATAATTGTAATGAAATTTTTTAACAAATTTAGCTCTTCAACTAAAAGAGTTAATGAATTAAAAGAGTTGGTGGAGTGATCTGACTTGGAATGGTGTGAGTTGTTGCAACATGTCCCTATCAAGTGTATAACATTAATACCCTACCCGCTATCAATAAAATTTTAAAAATTTACAAACCTTTTAAAAAAAATTTCTTAAATAAAGATAATAAAAGCTGTCCTAATATTTAAAAAAAAAAATCAAGAATGAAATGGCAGAGGCATATTTAGGAATGATTTCACATGTAGGAAATCTACTACATACTCTTAATATGCAGTTGTGATCAGAAGAATCTTATTTAATAAAGATTGATAAAATTATGCTACAGCTGTCATCTTTACAGTTAAAAATTGACAATAAATTTTATAGCGATACTGGTAAAAATATCATTAAAATGTTCAAATATTACTCTAATTAATATATTTTTAAATGGAGAAAATATTTATATTAAGATAATTTTAGAATATTTGCAATCAAAATTTGATTTCAATAACTCGATTTACAAATGTATAGATATTATGACCTTGGAACAGAGACCATAAATATGGTTTTTGTAATATAATAAATATATTAATTCAAATTATTTCTTTTATATATAATATAAATAGAGTAACTCCACTACAAAGAAGTTATTTTGAAAAATATTACCTATTTTGAAATTATAAAACGATACTGACTTTGTTAATATTTATATAAAGTAATTATAAGAATTAATAGGAGGATAACTAAGCTAATTCATAATCCTGGCCAAAAGTTCATAAAAAATTTTTTTATATCAATTTTTATATTTCTACAGCAATTTCATATTTATACTGCAATTTCATATTTCACCTACAAAATACCAAATTTCTCTTGCGATTTGAAAATTTTGACCTAGAAACCCTCTAAGCATGAGTATATTAATTCATACTAATTTTACTAACTTATAAATATGTGTTCTAAAGCATTTTTCAATTTAAATTTTAAAAAATTCCCTACTTAAATTAAATTTGATTCAAATAAACTATTATTATCAGTCCTTTATTTTTATCAAAATTAGACTTTTATCAATTTACATAGTTTTATATTATAAGTCCATACCATACGTTCAATATTTAATAAATTTCCTAACTCATTAATTGATTGTATTTAAACAATCATAATTATTAACTATTAATTCAATTTTATCCCTTAATTCTTTAGAAATTATTACATGTCTATATATGGAATTTTTTTATTACTCCTTCACCCAGCAAATCCCATCAACTTTAATGATTCTGCATCCCATATTAAAAATAATATTCTTATTTTTGTTTATGAGAATTATTTAGCCTAACAGATGCATCTAATCAACGTGGATAAAACTTATCTGGCTTTTCCAATTGTAAAATATTTTGATGCATATTCCATATCCTCAAATTTGAACTTTTTTTTGTAATTTTAGTAAATTTTAATAATTCATTAAGTCAAACTTTTTGTCAGCACATAAAAATAATTTAAATGAAGGGGTGTATCAGAGTCAGGCCCTTTATCCTACCTAGTTTAGATGGTTAAATAAAATAAAAACATTTATACTGAATATAAATCTAACTATCCATCTTATATAGACTAATTTTGCCCACATAAGTTTATAAAAATTTATTTTTATAGAACTACTACAAAAATTTAGAAGATTGTAAACTGTAAGAATAAAATATTATATATTAACTTTCAAAAAGTATATAATTTAATTAAATAAAATTATCATAATTTTTATTTGAGCAGCTTGATTAAATGATAATATAATAATTTACTACTTGTTTAGAATTTGTTTAATTGGCATAAGAGTAGCCTAATATACATATCTAAGTATAAAAATCATATAGACAAACACTAAATAAATTTATAAATATAAACTTTTTAGAGCAATATATAAGATTATTTTTTATAAAATTCCAAACACATGTTTACGGATAAGTGCACGCTCCTATATTATTATTCTTAATATTTATATATAGTAGCGTCACCCGGGGGGGGGGGGGGCTAGTGTACTGGTTCGGTTAAATTATATAAAAAAGTTACGATAATATAAAGGGCATATAAGATAAAAGAAAAAAAGAGGTCATTTTAAAAATGTTAATTAAAAAAGGCATTTTAAAAATCTGATAAGTAATTTTTTAAAAAAAATATTTATTTGAAGAACATAACATACACTTATAATTAAAATGAATATTTACAATAATTAATAAGACATTTAATGAGTTAATTATAATAATCAGGTATTTTAATATTAGTATTAGCTCATTCTTAGCATAGAATGAGAAGGGAGATTAGTATTTTTAATGGGAGTTGAAATACTAATTTAATAAAGTGTATTTAAAATACATTCATTATAAGATAATCAAATTTTATAAATAATTTATCACTAGACCTTTGCCGTTTCGGCGTACTTAACATTGTACCAAAACTAAATAATCTTTCCTATGGCGCTGATGAAGGTATTGCAGTATTAATATATGTATAAAAAACTTCCTTAGTGAAAGGATTATAATTAAGCACTTTATTATATATTTCAACTTTCTTTAATATAATTTAAAACCTCCATCTTATTGTTATTTGTATCAATGAACTCAGCACCATTTGTTTCACCACACCAAAAGAAAAATAATCATTATTTTCTTTATTGGATGTTAATCTATTGGTTTTTTGTTTGAACTTAATTATATACCCTAGCACTACATTTATGCAGGGTGTCGCTAGCCTTTACAATCTCAGGGGGCTCAACTAAAAAAAAATTTATTCATTCAGCCCGCTTTTGCACTGCCTTCGGCTGGTTTTATATTAATATATATACTTATTTAATAATTTGTAACTCTAGACAATTATTCTGAATTTCATATTTTGTCTTTTATAATATTTTGCATATAAAATAAACTAGCATATAAATAATCAAATCAGTACTAGATATTTCTATAATAATATTTATTACAAAATCTATTTATTACAGTATAAAATATTTTCGGTTGCTGATATAAAAAATTTTTGCGTCTTAAGAATTACAAGTGATAAAAAAGGTTAATTAATTCATACATATGCCTCAATTGGTAATGGAAAAACCCCATAAGGCTATATAATTCTTAGCAAGTTATATTGACAAAAGATCATGAAACTAATATAACTCTCTGTTAACATTTTAGACTATATTTTATTGAATGGACTAAAAAGTAAAAATTTATAGGCCTTACCAAATCAACAATTCTTGAAGAAGAGAATATAAACGACCAATCCAAATCATAAACCTATATGGTGGTTAGAGATTCCTCTTAGATGACATGATGGAATCTAAATAAGTAATCGAGAAAATTATTGTGAGATATTAAATTTCTAAAAGATTATCTTCCATTTTTAATGATACATACACGACTACACAGTTGTCCATTATTGCTTATCTAAAATATGCGATCATATGCTCTCAGCGTAGTAATAATTTTAAATTACATAGCCACAAAAATAATAGATGCTGGTTAATTTGCAGTCATAGGCATGACACTCACAATGGTAACCCATATCAGAATTTTTTCTGTTAGATAAATTGATAAAACAAAAACACTAAAAACCTTTAGAAGAAATTATGCAAATATATTGAAGCTTGAGTTATTTACACGGCAAAATGCCATATTAGAAATGAAACATTTTGTAACTACAAAATAAGAACCAGAGTGATATCATGAAAGCAATTAAGATTTTTAATATATTGTCGCACCACCTCTAGTTGGTATATTATATCTTAAAATAATAGTAGTTTGTAATAATATTAAAAATATATTCGTATTAAAAATTTAACTCAAAACTGTTTTTCAAAGAAGAAAAAATTGCTTTCCTAAAAATACTTAAAAAAAGAGAAGAAAAGATATCTAATTTATTACATCCATTGTGGGTTAAATAATAAGACGTTTAATTTCAATAAGATTTTATAATAGATGGTGTTAAATATTTGAATGCAAATTGTTACTTATATTTATTATCAAAAGCATTTATTAGTAAAATCTTATAATATTAACTGTAATATATTATATAAGTGTCAAATAAGTCTGTAAAAGTGACATTTTACCTAAATTTTATAAATAATTATATAAGAGTATTATAAACTATATGCTTACTACTTTTTTTAAATAAATCTCTTATACATATTTGGATTTGGACCTTGAAAATAATTTTTGGAAGAGACATGATAATTAAATTTAAAAATCAATAATATAGTTGATTAGTGATTTTAAACTCGGCTAATTATAATATTAAATTTGTTAAATTTCAATTAATAAATGATTATATTTATTTAATTAGGGTTATATAATAATTTAAATAATAAAAGTCAATTAAGCTTCAACTGTTAATGCTAAATTAATATTTAGTGAGTGATATTGATATATTATTTGTTGTGTTTGGACCGATGGGTCCCCCTGTCTGAGTGGGAAACATACAGTCCGTGATCGGGGGTCCGGGATTATCGATGACGGGATCCAGGGGGCCGGGTTTTATAGATTTAGTCTTGGTATCACACGGACAACGTAGGGAAAATAATATTTTCAAAGTTTATTAAAGTTGAAGTTGCAAAGCAAAAGAAAAATCTAATTCATCCAATAATTAATCAAAACAAAATGTATATAAATTACACAATCAAAGAAAAATATTTAATGGTCAGAAAAAGGTATTTTTCCAACCTTTATAATTTTTAAAACAAAGAGAAAAAAAAAGGTTGTTATATAATCGCGATACAATCATTCTTGAAACTGGTTAGAACCAGTTTCAAATGCAATATAAAAATAAGGTTAGGGTCCACTAGATCGTATGGACATTTGTGAAAAAACGTCAAATGACCAAAAATGGCCACAAATATATTTGAAGCGATTATAAAATTGTATAATTTTGAAACGTTGTTACAGATTTGGCAAATAAATAAAAAAATGCTTTTTATTTTAAATTAAAAATAAATAGCAGATAATTTACAATATTTTAGAAAACTCTTAATGCTCTAGATCCATTAATATATAATAGACAGCACAATTGTATTATAAATATATCTTTGATATAACATCATTAAAATTTATATGAAATATCTCATAATAAAATTTTTAATTAATATATAAAAATGCAATCTCTTTTTTTTGCATGATAATGTATAAATTGAATTAAATTTTTGTTAGAATAGATAATATTATTGTTGTATTTTGATTTGATCAAACTCTATTGAACCATTTGATTATTAGAATTTGTATAATAGCTTTGTTTAAAAATGATATAAATAGCAGATAATTTACAATATTTTAGCAAACTCTTTATTATAAATATATCTTTGATATAACATTATTAAAATTTATATGAAATATCTCATAATAAAATTTTTAGTTAATATATAAAAATGCAATCTCTTTTTTTTGTATGATAATGTAAAAATTGAATTAAATTTTTGTTAGAATAGATAATATTATTGTTGTATTTTGATTTGATCAAACTATATTGAACCATTTGATTATTAGAATTTGAATAATAGCTTTGTTTAAAAATGATATAAATAGCAGATAATTTACAATATTTTAGCAAACTCTTTATTATAAATATATCTTTGATATAACATTATTAAAATTTATATGAAATATCTCATAATAAAAATTTTAATTAATATATAAAAATGCAATCTCTTTTTTTTTGCATGATAATGTATAAATTGAATTAAAATTTTGTTAGAATAGATAATATTATTGTTGTATTTTGATTTAATCAAACTATATTGAACCATTTGATTATTAGAATTTGAATAATAGCTTTGTTTATATGCACTCTTTGTTTTGCCTAGTTTTCTAAAAAAATTAATTATTATATGCAAATTAAATAATATATACTTTACAATTTTCTTATTGATAATTGTTGCGATTTAGCTTTAATCTCTTGGATTTTCATAATTATTTTGGGAACAAACTACTTTGGGAACGAACTATTGCAAATTGGCTTTTTTTTGGGAACGAACTATTGCAATACGACAAAAAACCTATTTCCTAAATTTTCATACGAATTAGAGGGACGATACCAAAAATAAGGTATAATATCAATTTCATAACAAAAAAAAAGGAAGATGGGAAAACAAAAGAAACAAGTGGAGAAAAACCTAAAGAAAAGAAATATGTTAACTCATATCAAAATCTAATATGTTAGATATATTGATAAAGCAAAAACACCTAAAATCTTTGATGAAATTATGTTTGGAAGAAATTTTGCAAATATATTGAAGCCTTGAGTTATTTACAGTTTAAGTGTGCCAAATTAGAAATAAATAATTTGGGAGCTAGAAAATAAGTACCATAGTGATATGATGAAAGCAATTAAGATCTTATATATTATTATATTGTCAATGTATTCAAATATTTTTAATTAAATTTTTCAGAAACTTTGGTCATATCAAAAGAAAGCATTTACTGTTTTTTTCTGATTTTTCCCTATCTCAAAAAGAATTTTTTTATAAGCACCATGAGATTAATTTTAAAATGTATTTCTTTTCAGTGTATTTATTTTTGTAAATATAATATATAAAAAGTAATATTCCATATTATAGTGTCCATTTTTTAAAAATATATATAAATAAGCAAACTATTCTAAATTTATTTAGCATTTTTATTAAAATATAGTTTATTATTAAGTTAGGATAAACAAATAAATATATAATTATCAAATTATGAAAGAATGATTGAGTAAACAATTTAGCCAATATTATCTTTATTAATGTAAAAAGAATAATAGTGTATGATTTTTTAAGATATTGACTATTTATATAGAAAATATTTACTATGTTTTATTTAGCTAATATTTTGACATCACCTTATGTGATTATTATTACATGTTACCTTAAATATAACAAAAATGCCCTTTACTCTCAATTATATAACTTAACAACCCAAAATAATTCTTTCTAATAATATTAAATAAATACCATTGACCATTAACG